AAATACCTTTCTCTCGCGTTAAGAGGATCTTTTCTTCACAGAAGATAGTAACACAAGACGTTTTAGGCTAAACGAATTGATTTTCCCTTAAAAGCATCAAATGGCAAAAGAATCTTGAACTTACTGCAAGAATCCATGTTTTCTTAACATAAAAGCAAATATTTTCGCTGAAAGTAATTGTCCTTGTTCTAAAGATAAAAGTGGCAAAAGAATCAATTCTTTTGTCATTAGGTAGACCATTTTTATCAGTGCGATAAATCTATATAAAATTCGAAATATAAATCGAAAATCCATAAAATCAATTATTCCACTATCACCTTGGTGTCACGAATGCGAAAAATAAAATTTTAAATACTTATTCAAATGTCATATCACTAAAATTCAATTATGTTAACTGATCATAAAATAGGTTTCATAGAGAGCAGGAAGAAAAAAAATGTAAGGGTTAGTAATGAAACTTTATACAAGCTTCCATTTCAACAAAAGGTGTATTACGATAGCCATCCAGCCATCCATTTTCACTTGACGAAAGAAGTTGCATACGGAAGTTGCAGATTATAGCCTTGAATCAAGGTAGATAAAGGCTAGAAGTTCTCAGTTGTCGTCGAATGTGGAGGTACAGGAGTCAATACATGAGAGACTTGATTCCTCTAGGAATCCCTTCAAAAGCTCTATGTCACGCCCCACGAAAATTGAATTCTTTTAAAAATGTGGCTTTTTGAAAATAAATTCGTTGAGAGAAACGGCTCCTCGGAAAAACAGCTTCTCGGAAAAACGGCTCCTTAGAAAAACAGCTCTTCGAAAAATCCACGAGATTGAAACTCGAATAAAATGGTAAGCACAAGACTTTCGATTTAATTTTTTTCGGTATTTAATGGGTTACGCAACTCTATTTCGTTAAAACAGTGCCTGATAGCTGATAAGGTATTTTTCTTCACGAGAACGGTAATCACAGTTGAGGAAGACGGCTGCCCTCCAGGCCATAGTCGAGCTATCAGAGGAACGGCAAAATTAAAAAGGCACGAAGAAACGGACAATCTCTACAAGCAGAGCTTCTTTTCAAAAAATAGCCAGATATGGTACTAAACTGGTACTTCAAATTTAAACAAAAATCGTGGCCTCTAGTTTAATAATAATTGCTAATATTATTAGCAACAGAAACCTTTTTTTTAATGCCAGTCACCACTAACTCTGGATCAGAAAAGAGGAGAAATTAAGAAGCCACCATAATTAAGATTATTTAATTTAGGGTTTCAGTTGATTAATAATTATGTAATGCTTTTTTCTTTGGTCTGTATCAGAATTAGAAAAGTAGATTTGTTCAGATGTAGAGCAAAATCTGTTTTGTTCTGAAATACAAGTTTATTGATGTTTGAACTATGACTCCTAAGCTGCTTTCCAGTATGGGAGTATGACAACATTAAAGGTAATAATTTAACTCATAAATTACCTATATTTGAAAGAAAAAAGAACAAGTAGCATTCGCAATGCTACAGATTGTAACAAGCATATTATCAAATTCTTGCTAAAAGGTTCACATTCACTGACATCAACATTAACCGAGTATACTAACAAATCTTAATTAGTCTAGGAAAATTGTCGATTTTCAAAAAAAAAAATCCTACCCGAAAGAACTTTTCAGGGATCCTAGGGGGAGGGTGGGTGATCATAAAACCGAAAATATCAAACATTCACCCCTCTGGCGTTTTGCGCTATAGGGGTTGAAAGTGCGCCATTAGCGATTACTTGGTACCTATTGATTTTACAAAAAAATGTTTCAAATGAAAGATGTGCAACATTATTTGATCTACAATGATTATCTAAAGACTTTTTTGATTAAGGGCCGTCTGTGGTCATAAGGGCCGTTTGAAATTTTATAATGAAAATGAAAAGTTTTAACCAACGTGAAATAAATTTCTACAACTCATACAACATTTTTGCTTTATGAAGTTTTTACTCACCCCCTGCCGTTTTTCAATAGGAGTAGTTTTAAGTTTTTTTATTTTTTTACAAAAAATGTTTTTCATAAAAGTTTTATAAGATGACATTTCCTACAATTTTTCCTGATTAACTTTTTTTGTAACTCACCCCCGTTCAGAGAGGGGACACTTCGCTCGGGGAAATTTTAGTTTTTAGGGGTATATATTAATTTTTTTTTCTTTTCTCGCCTTTATTAAATATAAAAAGTTGCAATTAATATTGTATTAAAAGGATTTTTTTTTCACCACTTTTTTGTTTTTAGGGGTAGTTCGCCTATTTTCAACTTTACAAAAAAAAATTATCAAGAAAACTTGTTCATTTTATTATTTTGAGCAACTTTTCTCTATAACTTTTATTTGCAAAGTTGAAAATAGGCGAACTACCCCTAAAAACAAAAAGGTGGTGGAAAAAAAAATTCCTTTTAGTACAATGTTAATTGCACCTTTTTATATGCACTAAAGGCAGGAAAAAAAATAAATTAATATATACCCCTAAAAACTAAAATTTGCCTAAGGGAAGTGTCCCCCCGCTGAATGGGGGTGAGTAACAAAAAAAGTTGGTTGGGAAAAATTGTAGGAAATGTAATCTTATAAAACTTTTATAAAGAATTTTTTTTTGTGAAAAAATAAATAAAATTTAAACTACCCCTATTGAAAAACGGCAGGGGGTGAGTAAAAACTTCATAAAGCAAAAATGTTGTATGTATAGAATTTTTTTTTCACGTACGTTGTAGAAAAAATTTTCACGTTGGTTAAAATTTTTCATTTTCATTATAAAATTTCAAACGGCCCTCATGACCACAGACGGCCCTTAATCAAAAAAGTCTTTAGATAAACATTGTAGATCAAATAATGTTGCACATCTTTTATTTGAAACATTTTTTTGTAAAATCAATAGGTACCAAGTAATCGCCAATGGCGCACTTTTAACCCCTATAGCGCAAAACGCCAGAGGGGTGAATGTTTGATATTTTCGGTTTTATGATCACCCTGCCCCCTATCATCCCTGAAAAGTTCATTTGGGTAGGAATTTTTTTTTTTGCAATAAATGTATTTTTCGACTATTTTCCTAGACTAAATACAAATATGCAAAATATTTTATTTTCAACCACATATGTAATGTTGACATTGCAGGTTTTTCAAAATCTTGAAAGTGTCACATTTCTGGACTTTGACATTTATCGGGACGGTAATGCATATGCCTGCCTAGGACGGAAAAGCATTTTCCGTCCGGGACGGCAAATGCTTTTCCGTCCCCATTTCCCTGCTCGTTCCAAATTGATAATTTTCATACAGCTCTCACATATAATAATAAAACCACATGTATTACATGGAACTAATTAAATCTATTCACTTATTTACATTAATTGTTAAATTAGCATTGTTGTTTATAATGGAAATCTTGAGACCATCCTGTTGGAATTGTGTTTCGTTTGGAACTATTATCTCTTGCGCTTGCGGATGAGTTTCCGCATGTGATGTACTTGTGGATGCACTGGACAACTGAATACCTTTGGAAGTAGAGGATAGCATCAGAGCAGTCTTACTTTTGTTCTCCAAAGATGCCTCTATGTAGCCTTCAGCAACCGTGCTCGATTTCCACCCTCCCAGTCTTTTGAGTTGCAATAGATCGGCCCCGTTGTCAACCAATAAGGTTGCGGAAGGACGACGAAAAGCATGCCCTGTAAAAGTTTCAATTTTTGGAAGCTTCAAAAAAGCAGCTATTTTATGTGGAAATTTTGAGATTGAATGATAGCCAATTGCTTGGTTATGTAATTTCCCATTTCGCCATTGAACAAATAACCTGTCATTTTTCAAATTTTTCCGCAAAGTGAGGTATTTGTGGAAAATAGCAACCCAATCTGGATCGCTTATGATAAACGATCGACTTGTGTAAGTTTTTGTGTGTGGAATTTCTATAGCGATCTTTCCTTCCAAAACGTTGACGTGCTCCATTTTCATCTTGACTAGTTCATCGCTCCTACATGCACCCGACACACCAACAATTAGCGCTACCTGAAACCAGATAAAAATAAAATGGGTAACCTAGCTATAGCATACAGAAAATCATTTTGATTTTCGCATTTTTATCTTCTTTGTATATTTTTTGAAAACCTACCTTGATGCTAATGAATTCTTCAGCTGCCTTCGTGAGGAACTCGTTAATGTTTTCTCTGGAAAAAACGCTCGACTTTTTCGGCTGAAAGCCCAGATTTTGCCGCTTCAAAAAAGCTATAAGTTTTGCGTAATTGGAGATATCAACTTTCTCTTTCAATTTAATCATGGTTTTCAACATACTGTAAGTCGACCATAAAGTCGAAGGCTTCTTTTCCTTAGATAATTCGCCAAAATACGCCAACAAAACGGTCTCCGAGGCAGTATTTCTCGTTCCTTTCTGGCTACACCATGCTTCGAATATTTGAAAAGCCTTTTCGTACCGAAATTTGCTTTTTGCTGGAAGCAAACTCTCTCCAATCCTGTCTGCTGCTTCTTTTAATTCAGGTGGGGTACAATCCATCGCTTCATCTTCACTTTCCGAAATCATTTCTTTGGGGAGAACGGGGAGAAATCTAGTGAAAATCTATTATTTCCGCAAAAATACTGAGCGAAAACTACCGTCGTTAAGGCGTTGTTGATCTTATCTATGGTTGTTGATTTTGCGGTTTCCTGTGGTTTCGTCTTTTGTTTTGGCCTTTACAGGGCCTTTGAGATCGTCAAAATTGATGACATTGACAAAAAAAGTGAAATATTTTTTTCTAAGGCCAGTTTTACACTATATGAAAATTTCGTATAACAGAATCTTTAGTTTTTGCATCAGAAAATTAAGGGTTGAAAATAAAAAAGTATACAAACCTCGACGGAAAACTTCATTTCTGTCTCGAGGTTGAGTTTATCTCGACGCTTCGCGTCTCGATAAACTATAATAACCTCTCGACCAGCAATGAAGTATTTTCCGTCTCGGATTGTAATATACTATTATTTATTGTACAAAAAATGTTTTTTGTTTATCTGACCTAAACACTTATCGAACGGAAAATACTAATTCAAATTCAATTTAACGAAGTTTGTTTATTCCAAAAGCCAAATCTAATTACAAATTTAGAAGAAAAAAAACATAAAACACAAATCTAAATTCTTTTACTTTTAAACTTTTGACGTAACGTAAACCTCTTGTTAGGAGAACTGATAATAAAATCAATATAGTCTCGAAAATAAGGAACATTGGTGAATACTCCAGGAAACCCCGATTGGGCGCATCTTTCACCTCCCCAGGAAGTTATGCCAAGAAGAAGGCCGTTTGCTACTAGTGGACCACCAGAATCACCCTGAAAGAACAATCCTAAGATTAATTGTTTTTGACTAGGTATATTTAGAAAGTCGCTAGTTTAATTGCTCGGTAAGCCCTAGTCGATGTACGATTTTTAGTGAAAAAAATTAAACCACAGAAGGCTACTGTTAACTCACAGGGACTCTTCAAGCAATTGTTGAAATAATATTTACCAAACAAGTATCTTTTCCTCCTTCTTTATAACCAGCACAAAACATTCTCGTAGTTATAAGTGATCCATAATAATTTTTGCAGGTTTGTGAAACAATTTCTGGCAACTCAACTGACTAAAATAATATATTTGAATTTTGAGAATAAATATATAAATTAATAAATTCCTAGTTCATGCATTAAAAGTTGAATTGAGTTACCTGTAAAATATCTGGCAAAGTCTCATCGTCAGGATCAGTTTGTCCCCAGCCAGTGGCAATGGCAATTTCTCCTTGTTCCACTTTATAGTCTGAGTCTGGTAGATTAATGGCAGCTACTTCATCACCAAAAACCTATAAATTTGGCTTTTAAATGTTTACCATGGGAAGGCTACCGTATTGGCATAAACCCGGCACTTCTGGTTCTTCCATTCTTTTTTTTTTTTTTTGTTGTTTTTGAAGAATTTATGCGTGAAAAACGAACATTTTTGGTATGCATATCGATTTTAGCCTCAACGTGACTGAGAAACGAATAAAATATCTGGAAAATATTTATTGAGTGAGTTTGCATAGGGGAATACAAAAGCATTCAAAAAATAAGCTACAGTGAACCGACACTTATTTGTGCTGATTGGCTTCGGGAGTATTGCTATGACCCATTGACTTGTTATGTCACGGACTCCGGGTCCACTAAAACTCACTTTATAAAAAGTAAAAACTTTTATCTTCAAGCGGTCAATAATCTAAACTTAATTGTCGGCACCACTTGACACAGAAGTAATCCATTATGTAAGTACCTATTTATAGAGGACCATAAATTTTTTTATGATTGGAGTAATTTGTTGTGTCCTTGATCCAAATGCAGTCCTACTGGGATTCCAAACCTAGTGAATTCATCAGCCGGACTCTATTTTACGAGTCGAGTCGCATTGTCTGCTAAGACACTCGATATCGAATACGACAGCTCCGGACGTACCGTGTAAAACGTATCGAAAAATCGAATCGCTATTAATTCGATATGAATTTCGACTCGACTCGTAACATAGAATCCGGCAGCAGGCCACTTGCTGAAATTATCCATGGCAATCAGGATGTATATATTGCCAATGCGCGTCGCAGGGAATCGGCCGGCTATATGTCTTAAGACCTTAACCTGCTCCGCAAGTTGCACATTGTCGGAACATGTCTTGACATCCTGGTAATAATTGACTCGATAGAACCTGTCACGAATCTTGTCCAAGGTCTTGTTGACTCCGAGGTGAGGTCCAAATGTCCTATTATGAACTTCTTCTAAAACTCGAACAACTTTTGTCCTCGGCACGACCAATGGGCTCTAATTTTTGAAATTGGCATATATGGATAAATAACCTAAAAATAGAATTTTCTGCATTATTTTGTTCAGATGGTTGTTCCAAGTTAGTCTGCGGTCCAAGACGACTTGTAAATACTTAACTTCATCCGAGAGAGATAGTTGTCTTCCGTTTAGAGTGGGTGCTCGGAGATCCTGCTTCCCTCTTTTCGTGAACGGAACTAAGGTCGCTTCGCTGGAGTTTATGCAAACTTCTTTTTCCTCACTCCAGTGTTTGATTATATTCAAGGCACTTTGCATTCGGCCTGTTATTATGTCTTCATGCTTGCCTTTGATTACTACCGGCAGATCATTCGCCTTACCTACAGTACCTGACAGTAACTATTTCTCCGATACCGAGCGATAATTTAGCATGGCTTCTGTCTATCCTGTAATAGTCCGGGAGGCAGCGGCTTTTCATCACGGCTGAGATTAATACCGTGCATTGTAGTCACATTCCTAATGACGAAACCGATCGTCAGCCCGTCTAGTAGCGGTGGTTGGGCGCGTGGGAGGCTGCGGAACTCGTGAAAAAAAAAGTTTTCTAAAGTTATTTCATCCCAGCTGAAATTGTTTACACACATTATTTATAACAATTAGCAACAGAAAAAGACCGTCAGCCGTGCGGCAGAGGGGGGATGGTGCGTCAGTCGAGCGCGTGAACTTGACAAAAAAATATGAATTTCAAATTATTTCATCTCGCTTGAAATTTTTACACGATTTCATACATATATAGAAATATAATAATGACCGTCAGCTGCCTGTCTAGTGGGGGTAAGACCATCAGTCGGGGCGAAAATGTATGAGCGCGCTCATGCAATTATACGACGCGCGGAATTTTCTATCGGCTGACTGACGGCTTTTCCCCCAATAGACAATCAGCTGACGGTTATTATAATATTTCTATTTGTTGAAACTACAATACTTATCAATTTCAAATGAGCTTATTACGATTTACCCATTATACGTTGCATGTAAAATATAGCATTATATACAGGGTGGCCCATCGAAAACAGTCCAGCAAGGTTTTGGGCTTTGTATGTGAAAAATTTTAAAAATTCTCGGACCCGTATAATTTTGTTTTCAGGGGGACATATTTACACATTGATTACATCACAATAACTTCAACCCGTTAGCGGGGGTGGCATTCACCCTTTTTTTCTCAAATGGGAAGGGGTATGTTGTGATACATCTTTTGAGAGGGCATCAAATTTTCCTTAAAATGGCGCTTCGTTATTTAAATTTGAGCTACGCGTCGCCGAGCAATGGAATTTCAAACATTTTACTGCATCTCTTATTTACAAATAGGTTCGTGAACAAAAAATCATTATTAAACTAACAAATATCAGTCGACAATTCAACTTTATCTTCGGTGAAGTAGTTGATGTGGATAGTTCAACATTTCTGTGATTTTCTTTGGTGTACATTCGATAAAAAATGGTTTAATCTATTGCGGAGAGAGTGGAAATTATTGAATTGTATTTTATTAACAATCAATGTGCAAGAGTAACGGCAACTTTGTTCAATGAGAGGCATGCAGAAAGAAACGTGCATCATGGTTACGTCCTAGAACTAGTAGCAAAATTCCGGCAAACGGGATATTGAAAATCCGGCGAGAAATGAGGCAGTAGAAGTAGCTGTTCTGGGTCAAGTTACTATGGACTCTAGATTGAGTACCAGAAAACTTTCTGATGTAACAGGTGTTTCTCGGACCACTGTACAGAGAATTCTGAAACATAATAAATGGTACCCATATAAAATTCAACTTCTTCACGAATTGAATAAAGATGATAATGACCGCCGTTTACAATTTTGTGAAATAATGTCCGAAATAATTACACATACTCCCAACTACCTTTTTAATGTTTGCATCTCAGACGAATGTTCATTTTTTCTCAATGGCACTGTTAATCGACATAACTGTCGTTATTGGTCCGACACGAATCCAAGGCTTTACCATGAGGCTCATACTCAACATCCTCGAAAAATTAAACGTTTGGGCTGGTATTTTTGGTGATCACATTATTGGGCCATATTTCATACAGGGAAATTTGGATGGAGATACTTACTTAGACTGGAGCATGCCGTCAACCCAGCACTGATCGAAATTATGGAAAACGACCAACGTTATCATGAAGTAAATCCGATATTTCAGCAAGATGGGGCTCCTCCCCATTATGCATTAGCTGTACGGGAGTTTTTGAACGGAAACTTTCCTGGATGGATTGGAAGGAGGGGTGCTATCGAATGGCCCACGCGATCACCCGATCTATCTCCCCTTGATTTCTTTTTGTGGGGACATCTGAAATCGAAAATTTACGCCACCCAGCCTGAATCCTTAGAAGATTTACGGAACCGCATTACCAATGAATGTCGACTAATTACACCTGATATTCTTCACAATGTCCGAGCACACTTTGAACAGTTGCTGTACTATTGTATGGAGGGAACGGCGGACATTTTGAACAGTTAATAAGATAACACGTAAGTACTAATCAATATTAATTTGATTAAATTTCTCGGCAACCCATATTACAAATTTCAAAAACGAAGCGCCATTTTAAAGAAAATTTAATTCCCCTCTCAAAAGATGTATCACAACATACCCCTTCTCATTTGAAAAAATAAGGGTGAATGCCACCCTCGCTAAGAGGTTGAAGTTACTGTGATGTAATCAATGTGTAAATATGTCCCCCTGAAAACAAAATTATACGGGTCCGAGGATTTTTTTAAATTTTCACATACAAAGCCCAAAACCTTGCTGGACTGGATGGCCAACCTGTATATAATACTATATTTTACATGCAACGTATAATGGGTAAATCGTAATAAGCTCATTTGAAATTGATAAGTATTGTAGTTTCAACAAATAGAAATATTATAATAACCGTCAGCTGATTGTCTATTGGGGGAAAAGCCGTCAGTCAGCCGATAGAAAATTCCGCGCGTCGTATAATTGCATGAGCGCGCTCATACATTTTCGCCCTGACTGACGGTCTTACCCCCACTAGACAGGCAGCTGACGGTCATTATTATATTTCTATATATGTATGAAATCATGTGTAAACATTTCAAGCGAGATGAAATAATTTGAAATTCATATTTTTTTGTCAAGTTCACGCGCTCGACTGACGCACCATCCCCCCTCTGCCGCACGGCTGACGGTCTTTTTCTGTTGCTAATTGTTATAAATAATGTGTGTAAACAATTTCAGCTGAGATGAAATAACTTTAGAAAACTTTTTTTTTTCACGAGTTTCGCAGCCTCCCACGCGCGCACACACCGATGGTATTGAGGCTGACGGTCGGTTTCGTCATTAGGAATGTGACTACAACGTACCATATTAATCTCAGCCGTGGTGAAATTCCTCGAAAAAAAAGCCGCTGCCTCCCGGACTATAATGGGAGCTTCTACACCCCTATCTTCAAGAGCTTTTTGATAGATCAACACTGCTGCATTACTATTCATCTTAGTTTCTGTACATGAAATTGAGGTTTCTTTCGAAAGAAACCTATTTTTTTGGGGGATAGTGGTCCCACTTCTTGGGTTGTTGGTAGTACCCCTCGAGGTACTTGAGCCCCATCCAGAATTGAGCCGGGCATTCGCAGCTCTTTACTTATCTTCCGCCAAGCGTTACCTTTGCCGACAAAATTTCATAGGATGTAGGGATATGGATTCTGGAATCTACTAAGCCAGTTAGACTCGTGTCGATTTCTTGGTATTCTGCTTGTTCCAGTAGATATAACATGCCACCGCACATGGAAGGGATGAAATGAAAAACTTCTCGTAACCATGAATAAAACCAATGTTGTTTTTTTTCTTCTGAATAAACAGTAAAAAAGGAAAGCCTGGTGTAATGATAGCCCTCAAGGGATATTTGGTAATTTTTCACGATAACAAGGAGTTGATGTAAATTAAAATCTTCCATTTTTCACCATTAAAAAAAATCGGACGAAATTTGTTATTGGGGAGGTCAAAGCGGTGTTAGAGAACAATAAGTCAATTCTCATCGCGTTAACCAAAAGTGTAGCATTTAGCATATACATAATTATACCTATTAAGGGCCGAGTTATTCATCCTGTGATAAACTGTCAGGTATGCAATCTGTAATCTCTAATTAAATTTTGGAACTGTAAATTTATCTTGCCTGTTGTTACCAGCAAGTTTATCTGAAGATGAATAAACTGGGCCTTAGACTTACTAAAGCTGTAACCAGTTCTAAAACAGCAATATCAAAATCATAAGTATCGATATTGAAGTCGTCTAAATAATTTACTGATTTAACTCCAACTACTTGTCCTCCAGAGGTTCTGTCTGAGGAGCCAGCTCTTATTTTCACCTGACTTGCCGCAACACTGAAAAAAAAACATATAAGTATTTATAAGGTATTCCGGATATAACAAGGCAGGGATTTACGTGTGAAATAAGTCTGATGGTATAACCTTCCATTAGTCGCGCATGTACCTGGGCTGGGAGATACATGCTTATTCTAATATTCGATTCGATGTTTTTTCTAGCTAAATCCCGAGTACACTATCTGCTTTAAATCGGCAAATAGCGCTAAGTAGTATTGAGTAATGTCAGTTAATTTAATATTTGTCGTGTACCTACGTGATAAGTGAAATTTATAAAGTTAATTAGTTTAATAAAAGTTGTTACTGTTAAAGTGAATTTTAGTGAACCCGGAATCCGTGACAATTTGATATCAGAAGTGCGATTCAGTAAGGGCCGATACTTTTGCTCTCGAAATTTGATACGTTGTGAAAGTTTTGCATCGGCCAAGGTCTATAAGTATGATGTGGTTAGAGCACATTCTAACCCCTGATCATTTTCAACGGCTGTCAAATGAGAGCAAAAGTACCGGCACTAAGTGCATTAATTTGAGCTGAATAGTGAATAATTGGCAAGATAACTCCTGGACTAGTTTGAGCTAATTAGTGTGATTATTAGTATTCGTAGCGGTATACTTCAAATATAGCAAAAACGTTTCAAATAATGATAGAAGCAAACCACTTGGTATAGTTGGTCTATATATATAAACAGTCGATTTGACCCGCAGCACTTTATTTCAAGTGGCGTCAAATTCAAAATGGCGGCGTGTTTCCAAAATTTTTGATTTCAAATGTAGTTTTTGCTATGAACGTGGGGAAATTGCATTTTCCGTACTGTTTTCAGTGTGGAAGATCGATTTTCCGCACTGTCTAAAAATGCGGAAAATGCAATTACCGCACGCGCGTAGAAAAAAAAAACCGCATGGCTGTCAAAAAATAATAATAAATTACTACAAATTATGTAGATATACTTATTTTCTTCACGTCTGCTATGCGTCGTTCAGTGAACGGCAGACTCGTACGGAAAAATGCATTTTCGGCACTTCTTAGACAAATAGCTATTTTTGTTTTATGTGGAAAATGTTTTCTAATTAATTATCTAAATAGGTAAATATACTTTGGAACTAAATAATGAAAAAAAAAAACAATACTACCATAAATGAAATTGAAGAAGGCGCCATTTAATTTTCTTGCAATCACTAGTTGCGTGCAAATTCCGTACCATACCTACACGCGCAAAATGTAAAGCAAGTTCGTACAGAAGTGCCAAGCACTGAAAGAAAGTTTTGTATAATACAGTTTGGTAATCCTCTTGAAGAGCAAGAAACGTCCCTTGTTGCAATTGACACGAGGGTTATTGTTGATCAGGAATGCGTGAAAACCCTATACAATGCTGAAAAAGAAGGTTTAAAGCATACTTTTGTAAACGAACGAATTTTAGGCAAAACCGTTCCATTGTATGGAAAAATTAAAAAAACATTCTCTATCTATTTTTGCATCCAAAAAGACGGTGAAAAAGTCTGAAATGAAATGTACAATTCAGTCACTCAAATTGAACTACCAGCTATTTTCCAGACTATTCATTGCGAGTTTTTTCCGTGACTTGGATTTAAATGCATTCTTTCAGTATGACAACCAGGAATGCCCACCATCTCTATCTCTAAACGGAGAATTACGACGTGACCTCACCAATATTTTTGAAGGTTATCTGGTTTTAATTACGTGTATTAAGTTCAACCAATTTACTTTTCTGTGTTATTATGTGATGGTATTGTTTACGACGGAGCAGCTCTTGTTCATTTATTGCTCCGCGTAATAGCAAAACATTTCAAGAATATTTTGAATTAAAGCCTTACGTTGAAAAAGATGCCGCAAAAATGGAAGCTAAGCGCATCGATCTTGTTTGGGATCAATATTTAATTATTAGCATCAAAAATGCTGTACACCAAGAACAATGACATGACATTCGCCGCCAAGTAACCGGCGCTACTAGACTTCTACAAAACTGTCTGGATTTTTTAATAGACTTATTAAACAAAATTGATCTCTTTAATTCTTTAGCAAAATATTTTATTGCAGTAGGAGGTAAGGTAGCATATGTTACCACCAACATAGCTGACACAATCCACTCATCAGCAAACGTGAATTCGTTACTCAGTGGTCTAAAATGTAGTAATGAAGAGGAAGCAGATGACAGAATAATATTACATTTAAAAGACACGGTGCAGCAAAAGGCTCTCAGAATCTAGTAGTCTGCGGACAGTTTATACTGATGTGATAGTACTATGTATAGCAAATCTCTTGGTACCTACCCAAAATGTATGGGTTTTCTTTGGATCAGGTTTAAAGAGACGATATTCGTCAGTACACCTTTTAGCAGGTAAGTTGCTCTTCCCTCTCATCTACAAAATACCATTAATACACCTAACTTAAATTCATATCTTAGATATTCTTGGCGATAAGGCTAGTGGTCTTCCGGGCTTACATGCTCCTACAGGGTGTGATATAGTGTCTTTCTTTTCTCACAAAGGAAAAAAGTCTGCCTGGAAAACATGGAATTCTCAAAGCAATAATGCAATAACTGAAGCTTTTAAAGCGATTTCATGCCCGCTGCTTTCCATTCCGAAAAATGTCATAGAAAACCTTGGCATGGGGCTGTCATGAAAAGGGCACAATGTAGACACCTCTATGGTCGGTTCTTTCAAGTATTTGGGAGACTTGTCAAGAGCTAGCTAGATGCTCTTGTAAAATAGGATGCAATAGTAATCGCTGTAAATGCAGAAGAAGTGGCCTTCCATGTACTCTGCAATGCACTTACTGCAAAGACATGGTGCACCAACAAGATAACTGAAAAGTTAGTACTTTCAAATATTTTCATTTTAAATTAAAACCAATAATTCTTAACCATTCTTATTTTGTTTTGTAGTTTGGAAAATTCGGAACACTAGGAATACCTACTATCCTTCCAATTATTCCTGTTATTATATTATATGTTAGGTATATTATATGTTCTATGCTTTCATGAACTTAGCTACACCGCCATTTTGAATAGTCACCCGAAATTGTGATTCTATTTTGAAATGTGCTTTTATTTTACATCAATAAAGAACTAATTTGGTTTTTATTTGATTTTAATCCAATTAGACCTATAAGAAATAACTTGATTAGCGTCATTTTGAAAAAAATCCGCCATCTTGAATATGATGCCACTCCTGATAAGGTGCTGCGGGTCAAATTAAAGTATTATTTGTTAGGAAACTTTCTGCCAAGCCGTTTGCTTCTATCACGATTTGAAACATTTTTCCGTGTACCGCTACGACTATAGCAAGATAATTGGTGTATTTGAGCTTATTAGTGGGAACAATTAGTGAACTTTTATTGAACTGAAATAGTGACTTTTCTACCGGACTTGATATCGAAAAACAAGCTCACAAGCGGATTTTCTGGAATATTCTACAAACTTCTATAGAATTCTATTTGGAAACCGTATGTTATACAGGAATAGTGACTTCATTACTGATTTCAAAAATTAAGTCCACAGAGTGATTTTTCTAAGCTTAAAAGAATCCAGAATGCTCTATGGTAAATACACGACAGCAGACACACGAAATGGAGCAAGTTAATCAAATGTTGGCGGACTTCATGAAAAATTTAGACGAGACAAGAAGAGGAAGACCGAAGACAAGAAGAGAAACAAGAAGAGGGAGCCGAAAACAGAAAGATAAACAAGAAGAACAAGACCTACTTGCAGAACTTTTACAAGAACAGGTAGATCGAAGACAGAAAGAAAAACAAGAACAGGACCGGCTTGCAGCACGTTCACAACAACAAGAAGACCGAAGACATAAAGAAAGACAAGAAGAGGAAGCCCTAAGACAAGAAGGACAGGACCGGCCTAAGGAAAATTTTAAACTCCAGTGAGAATGGATCCAAACTGGTTCTCTGAAGAACAAACCAGACTCCAGAAAATTCATACATCATAATCCTTGGGTTAGGTTACGTTGTTTATATGCAGACGAAATAATTTATTTCAATATTGATCGTTGCCTTTTTCCTGTGGACGGTAATGTACATAGATATTATTGTAATTGAATAATAGTTGTGGTTTTCTATGATTTTTCGAGAACACTCTTGGAGGTTAGAATCCAAAATACCTCACAATAACTGTTCTGTTTGTAAAGTAGATTGGATTGGAGTGAATGAAAAGCAAACAGTTGCTTGTGAAGGCTGCAGAGGTCGGGTACATTTGGCTGAAAAATATTCCGGCCTTTCCACGTCCGAATCGAGAGCCGTGCTACTGCAGAAGCGTACCCTCATGTATTTCTGTATTGATTGACGAGAGGCATTTAGAGGTGTGCCCGTCATGGTCAGAAAAATGATAACGATGGAGGAGGAAATACAAGCGTTGCAACAGAAAGTAGCTGTCTTAGAAAAGGAGAAATCTTTAAATGCTGAATCCATGGTCCATAAGTTGGACAGCGAGCCACTCGTGCGCAGAATCTCATGATTTACAATATGCTCGACTCAAACTCCTTACTTAGTGCTTAAAGAGCGCATAACGAAATACTTGCTGATGGGGTTCCTGCTATCAGTAGAGTGCTGCGTGTAGGCAAAAATGGAAATAGGACCAAGCCGAGACCTGTGAAGGTTGTTTGCAGTGTCGACACAGTGAAACAAGCAATTAAATCTGGTGAGAAACTGCTAGGTACGCAATTTAGGATCTCTATTGATCAGACGCCAATGCAACAAGAGGCTTATAAAAAAGTATAAACATTGCTTGATAGCAGAAGAGCTGCGGGTCAGGAAAATCTAATCATATATAAGGTACCGTGATGAGAATACCACGCAACAAAAAATCATATCAGCACACCATTAACCTTTAACTTCCAAAATGTAGGAGGACTAAGAACCAAATTAAATGATCTCCTACAAAGAGTAGCTTGTGCGTATGATGTGATTATCCTGGTAGAGAGTAACCTAGCTGAATATACCTCCGACAGAAAAGTCCATTGTTTTTGCCTGTA